AGTCCTACATTGGCAGCGACTGTGGGAAAAGCTTCGTTTGCCATTCGTGGCTCGTTGTTAGGCACCTGACTCACACGGGAGAGAGGCCGTACAAGTGCTCCGAGTGTGACAAAAGCTACAGGAGAAAGGATTACCTCCTCAACCACCAGCGCCGGCACCTGGGAGAGGGGCTCTTCCAGTGCCCCCTCTGCAGGAAAAGGTTTGTGCTCCGCAGGAGTTTCATGAAGCATCAGGAAAGTCACGTGCAAGAAACACACCTGGCGTTGGCGGGCTGGCCCTGCGCCGAGATCCGGGGGTCCGTGATGCACTCCATCTAGGAAACCCCCTCCAGCCGGGGGGTTCGCGGCCCGCGTGGCTGTCGCCCTAGCTGGGCAGGACCAGGGCCGCGGGCAGCGTCTCCCAGCTCTGTGCTGGACCCTGGCGGGAGGGGGACGCTCTGAAGAGGCATCCTGAGCCCCCTCCGGGGCGAAAGGAGAGGGTTTGGGGGGTTGTTGCAACGCGTTGCAGCCGTCTGCGGAGCTGTTTCACAGCTTTCACCGGTGCCTGGAGCGGGCGGGGATGCGCTGGAGCTGGGTGGGAATCCCGCGGTGCTCGGTTACCGCCAGCGGTGAATCCCCGCAGGAGAGAAATCGCGGCGACACGCAGGACGATTTCTAACGCTTCCGGCTGGAGAATACCTGAAACGTTCTCCCCAGGCCGCCGAGAGCCCGGCGTGGGGGGCCGGGGCTGAAGCCGCGTTCGGGTTGCTGATCGCCCACGGAAGGGGCGAAACGGCGCCGGGAAGCGACGGCTCGTGCGAGATGCTTCGAGAGGAGCAGCGTCGACCCCGCGGCGGTTGGAAAGAAGCCTCTTCGGGAAGCGGCGAACTGGAGAGCGGGGAGCGGAGCCTGAGAGGCAGCTCCTTCCCGCAGCTCCACGGCGGAGCTGCTGCCGCCCCGGGGGGTTCCTGGAGGCCGGCGTCCCCCGCCGGGGGGGGGGGGGCATCAAACGGACTGGGAAGGCCGGAGTACGGCTCCCGTTTTGCATAGCCTTAAAGTGGTGTTGCGCTTAACGTTTCCGCGTTGTGACAGGTCTTCTGCGTGTGTTCGGTTTTCGGAATCCTGGGAGGAGGGGGAACTGCGGGCGCTCGCCGAGCGTCCTCTTCTCGCCCGTGCTCGGCGTCTCTTTGCGGGGGGGAGAGCGCCGCTGGGAGCCCGGCGTGCCGTGACACGGCGCTTCGTTCCTTTTGGTAATAAAAGAGCCTGGCAATATCGTCTGTCGCCGTGTCCGTGGCCCGGACCCTGGTGAGGGGAACAAAAACCCCCAAAACCACGGCAGCGGCGGGGCGGGGCGAGTGGGGGCAGAGCCCGCTCCAGCTCAGCGCCCCTTTGCCCCCAGCCGCGTGTGACACATCCTGTTGCGCAGCCTCCTGCCGCGCCTCTTTGCGTTCCGGTTTGTTAGGTTTTGGGGGTTTTGTCCGTTGGAAATTTCTCTTTATTTATTTTTTTTTTTAATGAAAATTGTCAGGGAGATGCCCTGGCACGCTGGGCCGCGGCGCGGCTCTCGTCGTTGCTATGGCAACGGGAAGGCGCGGGCTTGCAGTCCCCTCCCTTCCCCGCGTGCTCACGCTGGCCAATCAGCGCCCTGTTCCTTCGCGTGATGGCCAATGGGAAGGAAAGTGCCCGCCCCACCCTCCTCGTGGAGAACGCGCCGCCCGTGTGTGATTGGTTTTTAGGGAGGGCGGGGGCAAGCGGCGGATGGCCAATGGTGAGGGGAAGCGGTCCGGCTCCCCCCCCCCCGCGC